CTAATACACTATCAGAGTTTTATATATTTATACTTCTCATTCAACCACAGTTAAATTCACTCTATCTAGGAGGCTCAGTTTATATGGATAGTTTTTATTTTTTACAACAACAAGCTGCAATGAAAACAAGCAGAAATGAAATAAAAGTAACAACTTTATACTTCTTGTCTTTTTTAAAATGTAAGAAGTAAAAAGTAGACTGAAAAATAATTAGTCAAGTAAAGTACAGATACACAAAAATACTTCTTAAGTACATTAACAATGTATTTGTACTTACTTACTTTATAACTCTGGCAAGAAATGATCATTTGTGTGAATGAACGCTGCTTCTTGTGATTAGATCACAGATAAGATGATAACAAACAAAACCTTATAAACAGAAATGTTCCAATGACCCGGCCTCCTGGTGGACAAAGAAGGCCATCCCACTCGAGTGTACATTATCTGTTTACTTTACAAACATTATCTAGTATTTTACACTAAAAGTGAGCTAGAATTGATATGTTTGTAACATATTTAACGTATTATTTTACACTTGGCCCCCTGTAAAACTGCTAATGTCTTTAACTGTGTTAAAAGAGGGTCTGTTGGTATCAGGACTTTGTTAAAGCTGAAAATGGGGGGAAAAAAATCAAACTTTACTTTGAATAATTCTCATAACCTCCACATCATTTTCCCTATCAGCTGCTCTGGATACCCCTCCATCTAATCCTAAACATGTCTTAATACCTCTTCTGGAACCAGGTGGTTGTGTAGAAAAATATTGGTTTAATTAAACATTTTACACAGACTATTTAAATTGTTAATGAGCAGTTTTTGTTTGTCATCATAACGAGATCTGTGATGTTTTAGTTAATTTCTCTTCAGCTGAGGTCAGACATTTTAAAATATGAGTGGATAAAATCATCCATTACAAAAACAATATGCTCCCAAGTTTTTATTATTTATCTGTTTGTTTCTTCATTACTTTATTGAAATTTAACAACATATATACAGCAAGCAAGAAATATTAATAAAATGCATTTCTTGGCATCTGACTGAGTTAATTTCAGAGTAAAATTTTAAAAGAGAATTTACATTTATAGACCAAATAAAAAAAACACCACAATAGATTTAAGATCTCTACACAGTGTTAATTAACAAAAAGTAAATACATATAAAATGAATCAAAAAGGAAAGGGGGCAAAAAAAAATCTGTTGAACACCAGACGTGCGATTTGATTGGCTACTGTTGGTGTGACGCCACTTCCTGTAAAGCACGATGTAGACACTTCTGCTGGGATTGAACAGTTTATTTTAGCTCTTATCTGAAACCGGACGCATTTCTTTGTAAAATAAATTATCCGACACATCTTTCACGTAAAAAGAAAAGTAAAACGATAACCGACGAAGTGAGGCGAGATGCTCTTCACATCCCGGAAGTGTTCGAGTTCCCTCCGGGTTGCCGTACTAGTTAGCTGTTAGCCGTTAGCTTAGCTGCGTGTTTACGCAAGGTTACACGACGCTAGGCCTTGGGATTTATACATTTAAAAAAATAATAAAATTTAGTTTTTTTTAAATCAAATCATGGCCCTGTGCAGACTCACCCTCCGGATACGGCCAACAGTAAGATCAATATTTCTGTGTTTTTTTTAAATTGCGTCAAGAGAAGCATGTTTAGCAACAATATTTTATTTTATTTTAATTAAATTACTAGCAGTGTTTGGTACAGTCACAGTCAGTGTAAACCTTTTTCAGTGAGACGCTGTAACTTGTGACCTCAAGTAAAAATAAAAGCATTTAAATAAAATGGACATTAACAGGAGTTATGTTCATCAGGCTGCAACATGTCCTCATCTTTACACGACTTCTGACAAAAAAGTGTTGTGCAAATTATTTTATTCATTCTGTACAAACCTGGATTGTGACAAAAACATAGTTTCCTATTTGAATGTTTATTTTTAAGTCTGTTTAAACAGTTTTATTGTTGTTTTCAGGTGACACACGTCCGGTCTCTGCACAGCAGCGGGTCAGGCAGGAGTCAGCAGGAGGCTGCAGCTGATGTGGAGTCAAAACCAGAACCCTTCTCGGTCCTCAGAACCCAGGAGAGTGACCCGGTAAGACCCGGCTGACACCTGTAGAACTGAGAACATGAAATATGAACACCTGTACGCATCATGTGATTACACTGATACAGAAAATCTCCAGTAAAACAGATTAACCACCATCTAATTTGAAATGCTGATTATATGTAATTCTTTTATTATAATATAATAACTTCATGCACCCATATTATGGGATAAATCTTGTGCCAGCAGGAACTGAATCTGAATGCATTGGTTTGAAAATTAATTTCACTAAATTCAAACTGAATTTAAAGTTTTGTATCTGAATTAATTTGCTTTGAAACTGCATTTTGGTTTATTAAAAATTAAGTTTGTCTCCTTTCACTTTAATTCAGATTTTTGTGTCACATCCTGGTCCTTGAGAAAGCCAGGCAGAGTAATCAAACACAGATCCACAGATTTATGTTTCACTTTGGTGAAGTTTCCCTTCTGGATGTAACAGAGTTGATGCAATCCACTGTAAAAGTGACAAAAACAAAGTTATTTTATTGAAGTGATTAATTTTACCTATATGTCACATCATGGATCACATATTGATCAGAAGCTGCTGCTAAATGATCCATGATGGGATGCAAATGTAACAT